TTATCTTTGAAACGGCAGGATCGATTTTAGTCGGATCTTCGCCAAAATGTTTTATGAAGAAGGTTTAGTGAATTACGTTGATGAGTAAAAGTACCGTGGCCTATCTTTAAAGTTCTTGTCTCATTGTCATTACAAAATAATACTTCAAACTAAAACTTTTAATGACTGTAAAATTAACGTTAAAATAAAATTGTCTATGTATTTTGTAATAATTATAAAAACTGTTATTTCTTCAATAATTATCAGTGATTATATAATTAATGAACAGTTTTAATTTAGAAAAAAAAGAAATATAATTTTGTTGATTAAAATTTCCATCTTTTAAACAGAATTAGAAGAAAAACTGCCTGTCCAATACGTATTGGAAGTTATTTTTCGATACGATATGATTCTTGAATATCGATACGTATCGATATATTGATATAGCCCTATCAACATCAAATCTTCTCTTTAAGGAAGAGAAAGAAAATATGAAAAAATCTAATTTTGCTTTTCAAAGGAGGCTATGAAATTTATAGTTAAAACTCAGAAGAAATCCCTTGCAGGTACATAAGACAGGCCTTGATGCATTATTGCAAGTTGGGAAAATTTGAATCATTTTTGGCTCATCAATAAAGTTCATTTCAAAGAGTTTGAGATTATCCAGTTTTGAAACAGTCCCTTTTCAATAGTGTTGATATAGGAGAATTGTTTAATACAGTACTTAATATCAACGATATTTTTATATAAAACGTGTATGATCCAGTTTTGGAATACTTATTTCAATAAAAACCTCTCATACTTTAACATTTATCAATTTGAGTGGGTCTTCGCACCATTTTTAGCTCTCCTGGTCAGAGACCAGAAGAGCTTATGCAATAGAAATGCGTCCGTCGTCCGTCCGTCTAGCTGTCTGTCTGTAAACAATTTTTCAAAATGCTACTCCTCCTACAGTTTTGGTCTGATTTCAATATAACTTGGCACACAAGTAGACTACACTTAGATACATAATTCTGTGCATCGGATTTTTGTTATTTCGATGAACGCTGTTGCCGTGGTTACTAAAATTAGAAATTTTTGTGAAATGCTTTAACAAGAGGCCCAGGGGCCACAGCGCTCACCTGAGCACACCAGCTAGGAAAAAAACAAATATCAGATCAGAACTGTAAGTTAACTTAAGTAAGGGGGGGGGGCTTGAATTTTAACCCCCAAGGGGATCATAATTTGAACGAACTAGAATCTACATTACCTGAGGATGATTCCATATAAATATTACTAATCATGGCTTTGAAGTGCTTGAAAAGAAGATTTTAAAAATTTTCCCTATATATTTCTATGTAAAACTTTGGTCGGCCATTTTGGCCACACACTTACCCCCGGGAGTCATGACTTGAACAAACTTGAATCTACATTACCTGAGGATAATTTCACATTACTTTCATCTTTCCTGATTCAATGTTTCTTGAGAAGAAGATTTTTTCAGATTTTTCCTATATATTCCTATGTAAAACTTTGATCGGCCATTTTGGCCCCGCACTACCCCCGGGGGTCATGACTTGAACAAACTTGAATCTACATTACCTGAGGATAATTTCACATTACTTTCATCTTTTCTGATTCAATGTTTCTTGAGAAGAAGATTTTTAAAGATTTTTCCTATATATTCCTATGTAAAACTTTGATCGGCCATTTTGGCCCCGCACTACCCCCTGGGGTCATGATTTGAACTAATTTGAATCTATACTACCTGAGAATGATTCCACATGAGTTTCATCTTTCCTGGCCTAGTGGTTCTTGAGAAGAAGATTTTTAAAGATTTTTCCTATATATTCCTATGTAAAACTTTGATTGGCCATTTTGGCCCCGCCCTATCACCGGGGGTCATGTCTTGAACAAACTTGAATCTACACTACCTGAGGATGATTCCACATGAGTTTCATCTTTCCTGGCCCAGTGGTTCCTGAGAAGATTTTTAAAGATTTTTCCTATATATTCCTATGTAAAACTTTGATCGGCCATTTTGGCCCCGCCCTACCCCGGGGGGTCATGACTTGAACAAACTTGAATCTACACTACCTGAGGATGATTCCACATGAGTTTCATCTTTCCTGGCCCAGTGGTTCTTAAGAAGAAGATTTTTAAAGATTTTTCCTATATATTCCTATGTAAAACTTTGATCGGCCATTTTGGCCCCGCCCTACCCCCGGGGGTCATGAATTGAACAAACTTGAATCTACACTACCTGAGGATGATTCCACATGAGTTTCATCTTTCCTGGCCCAGTGGTTCTTGAGAAGAAGATTTTTAAAGATTTTTCCTATATATTCCTATGTAAAACTTTGATCGGCCATTTTGGCCCCGCCCTACCCCCGGGGGTCATGACTTGAACAAACTTGAATCTACACTACCTGAGGATGATTCCACATGAGTTTCATCTTTCCTGGCCCAGTGGTTCTTGAGAAGAAGATTTTTAAAGATTTTTCCTATATATTCCTATGTAAAACTTTGATCGGCCATTTTGGCCCCGCCCTACCCCCGGGGGTCATGACTTGAACAAAAGTGAATCTACACTACCTGAGGATGATTCCACATGAGTTTCATCTTTCCTGGCCCAGTGGTTCTTAAGAAGAAGATGTTTTAAAAATGCCAATAATTTTTCTCTTATTCATGATTATCTCCCCTTGGAAAAGGGCGTGGCCCTTCATTTGAACAAACTTGAATCCCCTTCACCCAAGGATACTTTGTGGCAAGTTTGGTTGAAATTGGCCCAGTGGATCTTGAGAAGAAGATGAAAATGTGAAAAGTTTACAACGACAACAACGACTACGACGACAACGACGACAATGACGACAGACAACGGACACATTTTGATCAGAAAAGCTCACTCGACCCTTCGGCTCAGGTGAGCTAAAAATGCTACTCCTCCCACAGTTTTGGTCCGATTTTAAAATAACTTGGCACACAAGTAGACTACACTATGATACATAATTCTGTGCATCGGTTTTTGATTTCGTTGAACGGTGATGCCCTGGTTACTAAAAATAGAAATTTCTGTGAAATGCTTTCAAAATGCTACTCCTCCTATAGTTTTGGTCCGATTTACAATATAACTTGGCACACAAGTAGACATGTGTGCCACGGTTACAAAAAACAGAAATTTCTGTGAATTTTTTTCAAAATGCTACTCCTCCTACAGTTTTGGTCCGACTTAAAATATAACTTGGCACACAAGTAGACAACACTAAGATACATAATTCTGTGCATCGGGTTTTGATTTCAATGAACGGTGTTGCTGTGGTTACTAAAAATAGAAATTTCTGTGAAATGCTTTCAAAATGCTACTCCTCCTACAGTTTTGGTCCGATTTTAATATTACTTGGAACACAACTAGACTAAACTAAGATACATAATTCTGTGCATCAGTTTTTTATTTCGGCGAATGGTGTCGCCGTGATTACTAAAAATAGAAATTTCTGAGAAATGCTTTCAAAATGCTACTCCTACAGTTTTGGTCCGATTTATAATTTAACTTGGCACACAAGTAGACTACACTAAGATACATAATTCTTTGCATCGGTTTTTGATTTCAATGAACGGTGTTGCTGTGGTTACTAAAAATAGAAATTTCTGTGAAATTCTTTCAAAATGCTACTCCTCCTACAGTTTTCGTCTGCATGATTTCAATATAACTTGGCACACAAGTAGACTATACCAAGATACATAATTCTTGGCATCGGTTCTTGATTTTGATGGGCGGCAAGGATCATTTTTCTACTTCTTGCTGTTTTAAAGTTTCAAGTCCCAACTGCTACTTTTCTCTTCCTTCATTATAAGTATAAACCAGTAGAGCTACAGTCTCGACAGAGACTTGGTTTTGAAAGATAATCCTAATCGTTTTCATGAAAATTTATTTTTTTGGTTTACAAGAACATGAAGCAAAGACCCACTTTACCTTAGAAGTACTCTTTTATGACAACACATTTGCATCTTTCAGAGAAATACTTCAATTCAATACTTCAATATGAATATGAAATCTCTCAAATATATGTCGAAGTCTTTGGGAATGCTGGACCAATGAGCAAGAGAGAGCTGAACTTTCACCGTCTTCCGTGCTATAAATATATTTTATGAGTACATGATACAAATACCGAAAGAAGACGTGACCTACATTAAATTCCTCCTGTCTTTGAAGCGGTGAAAATTCCTCCCAAATATGTTGAAAACGTCTCTCCCATACTTTTAAATGACTCCCGCGTTATCTGTTGTATACGGTGAAGAATCAACTGACAAGGTTTGAAAATCATACCTCTTGGTAACAAATTTAACAAAGATTTGACAATGAATAGCCATAAAATTCAGAAAGTCACTGTGACCTACTCTTCGGTTGACACATCCCAAGGCCCCAGTGTGCATCAACTGACAAGGAGAGGGCTTATATGAACAGTGCCTGCTGCCAGATCCTGTTTTGTTTCCATACATAAAATATTGTTTAAATTAAACTGACACCTTTTGATGATCTTAGGCTTATAACAAGCACAAAAGCATAGGTGATATGATTTTTAGGTCACGTTTACCACAAGAATACATTGCTAAGGTGGACCCCTGATGAGGCGGGACTTAAGGCATCTAGCCGTTTTAAAACTGCCGAAACACACTTTATTATATTATGATGTATGAATCAAAATAAAAATTTAAAAAATGTCACAAAGTTAAGTTAAGGGTGTCGGGTCCTAACAAAACTTCATGGACGAGTTTGGCTGATTGATGTCCTTTTTCTCACACCAGAAATGGGAGGTAAGAAAAGGGGTAAGTGTTTACAGTTTGCCTGCTTATTGTCCCTGAGAAAGATTTTAAATGATGTAATGTTTTCTCAATTTATACCAACATCTTCTAATATAATAGACATATCCTTTTAACCATGTAGCCATGAGTATACTCTGCTCTGTTTTTTTGCCAAACAGATAACATAAAACAGAGTTTGTCAAAAAGAGCATTTATTATTGAAAATGCCTAAAAAAAATATTCTACGTCTTAAAAGTACATATGATACACGTAAAAAATCTTGGGCGACAAATAGACAGTAAATCTCATGTAAAAAAATATTTCATTAGGCCTACGTGTATACAAAGATAAATGTGCCTAAGATAAACACAGTACAAATACTGACATAAAAATACATATGTATTGTCCATTGGACTAGGAATGACAAAAAAGATGGGACTAATTCTTATTAAAAATACGCCTTCTCAATATATGACCAACTTAGCCCAACCCTAAGACTTAAATCATGGAGGCAGGGGGTATGAATTTCACGGTTTTGGTAAAGGCTGAGTACTCATAATCTTACAAGCAGTTTCATGAGTAAAAAAAATGACTTTATAACATATAATGAATTTTCAGTATATGACCAAATTTAGCCCCATCCTTGAGTCTGAATACTGAATCCAGGGGCCCTAAATGTAGATGGGTCATTGCTCTTTTATAATCATAACCATTTTGTATATTTATTTATTTATTTTATTTTTGCATTTTTGAAGATTGCATTTATGTTTATAGTTTTGGCTACGCCCCTCAGATCCAAGGGAGGCACAGACCATGAAATTCATAATTTTAGGTTCCCTTTACCTATAAATGCTATATACTAAAACTGGTTCAGCCATTCCAGAGAAAAAATGTGACAAAATATTCCAAAGTTTATGACTGAAGGATGACAATGGATGAAAACAGATAGAAATAGGTTAACTGAGTGACTTTGGTGACCAAAAAATATCAATATTCAGGGCTAGGTCACTTTGGTTTTTTTTTTATTTTCTATCTTGAATGTTAGAAATGAAGTCAGAAACCAGGGCAAAAAAAAATACACTGACCCAGTACAATATTTTCCATCTTGGTGTGGCAATCAGCTTTTAAAGTTACTCATCAAATCCGAAATGAGAATTTAATTAAACCTTAATAACTTGCAACTTTTAGCCCTGTTATACAAAGGCAAACATCGCACAGAATGGTTGATCAAACCATATTGACCATCTCAGAAGTTAGTCATTGTTAAAAATGATATTTTCCTGGTAAGAATCAAACCCTATTTACAATTATCTCAGAAGTCCATAACTGCATTTAAAGCAATTTCATCCAAATCCATGAATATTGACCTGTACATTTCATAGTATTCTTAATCAAACTGACATTAAATGATATTCCTCCCATTATATATTTGATTAAATAATTTCACGACCATCTAAATAGAAAAGGAAACTCAACATACAACTTTTTGAAAAGTAAACCTTTTCATCTTTATGGTATTTCAAAAAAGAAGACATTTTGGAACAAAAAGACATTTAGTCTCTACCTTTCCTTTAATTATGTTCTACTGACTTTTCTTTCCATCATTTTCACAGCTATTAATGCTTTGAAAATTTCTCGACGATCATACTTCTTTAAGAAATTGTATTGATCTGTGTAAAAAAGTACAGGTTCTTCTTGCAATCCTGGGTGAAACCTAACAGATACTGGTTTTTTCCTTCCCCTGATTTTTTCGTAGCTCGCTGGTTCGATTTTCAAATAAGTGAACATTATCTGCAAAATTTAAAATTCAACATGTTACATAACAGTGTGAGCAACTACTAATTTATATTAACACAAATACACTTGTTCTTTCTTGAATCTTCGTTCATGCAGTATACCAGCCAAACACAACCTAACAACTGAGCAAACCCTGAATTCACTTTGGGTTCACTCGGGTATGCTGTGGAAAGATTTGATGCAGCCAAAGATGCTGCATACTAAATCTAGTTAAAAAGGGTTCAGCCTTTCCAGAGAAGAAGCTGAAAATGTTCAGAAGTTTATGACTGATGCACGAGGGACAAAGACAGACAAAAACTGATAACTGGTTGAAATTTATTCAGTCATTCCAGAGCAGGTGGAAAATGTTCAAAAGTTTACAACTGATGTTTGATGCCCACTGGAAGACAATATTAATAGAAGAAAAGCATTCATCACCTGAGTAACTCATGTGACCCCCCAAAAAAGACAAAAAGCTAGACAGCAATGAGTTTTAAGAATACATGTTGGAATATGAATGGTTCAATAATAGTTTGAGAACGTAATAGCCTTATAGTATTTGAAAAGAATTTTAAAGTTTTTCTAAATAAATATATACATGTATTGTGATTGTTGCAGGTGACCTACAAAGTTCAGTTTATTTTTGGCTCCTGCCAGCTAAAAACTGATATGTACCATGTAAAAGTATCAATCACCGAGTTACCACATATATATTTCATACCTCTTCCTATTACTTACATTGGTCTTTTGAATGACCATCCCCAGTAGTCCTCGATTCAACACAGACTTTTCCATGTATGAAAGCAGTTCACCAACATGCTGAGCAACCACATTTGATGGGATACCAATGTTAGATTCCATGCTAGAAGTTGCTTCCTCGGTTACAGTTGCAAGTTCTGTTGTGGAGCGTAGCTTTTTCTTAATTGGGGAGTATTCTGATTCATCATCAGGACATTTTCTCTTCACCTGACAAGAATTAAATAAATTTTACTAAGATACACCTAATATTTAAGATATACAACTCCAGATAGAAATTCAAGGTTGTGCTAATAAAATATCATCTGTAAGACATTTTCAACTTCATTGTTTCCTTGACAATCTATATTACTTGATTAACTATAGTGAGAATGTGTAATATCGCCAGTACAGCTGTACCTCATAGTTATCTTTCTTGCGCTCTTTTGCGGGGGGAGTCGAGAAAGCTCAAATCTCACGAGATTAATGGGGCACATGGCATTGTTTACAGTGACAACCGAATGATTTGAACAATTTTATGCCAAAAGTACAATGTATTGCCAAGAATTGAACTCCAAATAGTAGATTGTCAAATAAGGAAAGTTTAGATTTTTTTATCAGCTTTAAAATGTGACCATTTTCAATGAAAATTTAATAAGAGCCAGCTTAGTTCAAAAAATATCGTTAATGTACCATTTAGAATTAGCTCCTCTCAAAAATTAATAAATGCAGAGGATGGATATCTGGAAAAATTCTATAAAACCCCTATCCCTACCATATCTGAGAATCTATGAAATTGGACAGAATAAAGGAAGAGCTTTACATTTTTAACAACTTATTTTAACAATACTCTTTCTCCTACTATCGCATTCCAAATATGTTATGATATCTTCCCTTTGGGCCCAGCAAGGGGGGGGGGGATCTCTGTGTTGGTCATTATTCATGTGAAAAGGATTTGAAATAATAATTAGCTAGGATTTTTTTCGGAGAGCAATTACAGATTAAGATAATGCAACTTTTTCAATCCATGTCAGTCACAGTCCTGTTGACCTCCTTCCCAATACTTTTCACAATATATATAACAAAACAGAGTTCTGATAAAAATCAACCCATATGTAGCCATTAAATATCAGGGTGATTATTAAAATTTCAATGTCTTTTTTGAAAAAAAATTAAATTTCGTACCTACCTTACATACAAATAGTACCTCTTCTGGTTCATCACATTTTTGGCCAATAATATCAGCTTTTGAAAATATTTCTTGGCTGAATAAAGTTGCATGCCCTCTTGGAAATTGTGGTTGATATCTAAATAAATTTTCAAATGCTATGGATGAGAATAATCAATCAGTCATATGTATCATATATGTTGTCCATGCATATGCCTGTTGAGTTATGTCTTTTGACTTAGATGAGCTTTATTGTGGACTGAAGTCTGTGTTCTCTTTCATTTATGATTTAGATATCACTGAGATGATGCCTATACCAAGCAAGATTTCAACAAGGAAAATGACAATACAGATGTGTCAAGTTTAACTTACAATCTATTTAGAAGTAACTGCACATCTTTCATCAAAGGATATTATATGGGTGAAATGCAAGTAATGCTGAGCAAAGAGATAAGTAATTTTGTTCCATAAGAATAATTCAAAAAATGATCAGTTTTGAGTTTGTCTAATGAGTATGAAACTACAAACACTCCAGTATGGATAAAGTGCTTGTGAGATTGGGTCCTGAGGAGAGAAAGTATAATATACAGTTGAACTTCAGTATCTCAAATTTTGATATCTCAAATACCATGGGTATGTCAAAGTGATTTGGAAGTCCCAACTACCCTTTCTTTTTGTGTTTTACCGGTAATCTTGGTATCTCGAATCCTCATATATCTCGAATTTTTTTTCTGATCCCTATGGTTGACTGTATGTCTAAATGCCAGGTATATTATTTTATTAAAGAAACTACAATCTCCAACAATACTTGTGAAAAGACAGGTTATTTTATAAGTCAGCTGGAAATCAATGTCCAAAATACATGGGTACCAATTTCAAGTACTATGACCAATGAATGAAACTGTTTTCATTTCACAGGAATGTTTGCATATCAATTTGGTTAACTGTAGACCTTCTATTATTTAGGAAGAATTTTATGGATTTTTCCCTGAAATGCACAAACTGAGAGTTTCAGACATAACTTAAATCTCTACATTTAATCATTTACAAAGTTTCTATCCTGATTGAGGGAGATTTTAATAAAGTACAAATCACAATGTATCATGTTTTTTTCATCTGTCTTTTAGTTTATATTATAAATGTCACAAATTTATCAACTGTCAGAAGAGCAAAAAATGACTTACTTTGTTCTAAATTCGAATAATTTGAGTAAACTCTCAAAGAGATGGTTGTACTCTATTTCAAATGGTTCCTCATTCTCTCCTTTCCTTGGCGACTGTATTTGCTTGATAATATCAAACAGACGAAACCTAAATTCTTCAAGACTGTAACTGAAACTAAAAAAAATGATTTTTTTTTTTAAACTTGGCAACACATTTTAAACAAGTATCTTAGTAAAAGCATTGCATCCCCTACTGGCCAGAGTCCAACGGCTGTACTTCCATAAAAAATCATCAAACAGAACAAAATGTGAAGTAATCTTTTACAAGGTAGACTTACATATCAACATTCATGATCAAATATCAGCTCAATATTTGCAAGCATTAAAAAAAAAAATCAAGATGAAAATATGTTACTTTAATTTTCTATGTCCAAGGGACTTAATTCTGTCAAAAATCAATGAAGCAGAACTAAATTCAAATTCAATCCAAACCTCATCAAGGTAGACTAAGGCATCAAAATTAAGCTCAAAATCTGAAAATCAGTGCTTATAAAAAAAAGACTGGACAGGGTTCAACCAAAGGCACTTGTTTCGGAAATAAATTTTTAATCCCTAGTATAATAATAATTAACACAAGGTATCTAACTCCGAATTACACTCGATACCCCCTCCTCAGAAACGCACTTATTTACATTTTAAGATTATTTATTAATTAATTAAATTCTGTCCGCTGAGTGGAAAGTCGAACTAAACCATGAAAGGGTATGTGCTAATCTCGGGCAAAGTGCAAAATTAAAACATATTTTTAACTAAAAATGTGTATGTTCCTTATTTTAGAAGTTATTTTAATTTTTATTTTCAGGTTACAGTTTAGTTTGTTCCTGATCCAGATATAATTTAACTTCAAAAGTTAATGTGAAAAATATTAAATTCTAGCGTACTCTGAAGTACTCTAGTGTACTCTGTTTCGTAGTACCCATAAGTATACATGAAGTTTTGCCCTTCACTTTGTAAATATACTTACAATTTAAAGTCAGCACAGTTTGGTGGAGCAAACCACTCTTTTCCAAATGTACTAAAAGGCATATCTTCTTCATAAGGTATCTCCTCTAATGACTGGAAATTAAACCCACGAAAATCGCATACATCGGCAATTGTATCAATTCTAGCTAACTCAGCTTTACTAAGTTTGACTAAATGCCATTGTTCCCAAATCAATCTGAATGGACTTGTTTGCACTTTTTTTATTCCAAATTTATCGACCAGATCAACTGAACAACGACAAAAATTCTTTGGCATCTTGTTCTCATCCGAACTACCAAGTGAGGACTGAGAAAATTCAGACGTACTGCTGGCTGAATCATAGCGTGACATTTCGCATCGAACCGGGGGCGATGGAGTTTCATCTTTCTCCTTCATCGAGGGTGGCGAAGATGATGGTGAAAGAGTTGATGGCGAAGGTGTTTTCTCTTTCTCCTTAACAGCGATCTCTGATGAAGATGTCTCTTCTTTTGTTATAATAGAGGACTGCACGATAGGCGCGAAAATATGTTTCTTCTCCATTGGATGCACGTTTCGGGACCTGTAAGCCAATGACGACACAATATACTTCTTTCAAAGTTTATTAGATAAATCCAAATCGACAACTTCACCCTGATCGTATAGGTTTATAATTAATCATGTTCTGAGGATCCGTCCAAGACAGAAAGACTGAGCTGAAGACTGAACTCCCAATATATAAATAAGGAAAAGTCCAAAAGAATGACTCCCAAAAATAGAAAATGAAGCGAATAGAGAATTAAGAATTTACGAATATCAGAATATTAAGAACGGGAATAAAAACGGGAATGCTCTTCCCGTTTCATAGCAATAAATACCGATTTCGGTTTCAATTTTAAGGGCACATCCCAATAACTTACTAATTTTTTCTCCCCAGAATGAGAATCCACTTCTAGTTAGGCGCCATACTCAATCTAAATATTAGGAATTTCGAGCCCGATCCAAATTAAAGTAATGAGTACAGTAAAATTCTAAATTAGGTTCAAAAAGCTATATTTTCCCAAATTATTTCATTAAATCCCTTGAAAATTTCATTATCACTCATATCATACTATTTTTTTCATTTATACTTTGTTCAACTGGAAGTACCAGTTTTTTCATATTTATTCATTATAAATAAACATCATCAAATCTTTGTCATCTTTGTTTTACTTTGTGTTTCTAAAATAGTAAATAGTCACTGACAAGTGACAGTCACCCCGAAACCCGACTGTCCCAGGAGCAGAATATTTATTATTCCTCTCTTGGGGTAGCAGTCGTATTACATTTCTACCAAGCTTTTTATTAAATGAGGCAAATCATACCTATATTTCCAACTGCAATATGCTTGCAAAAGGGCAGAGAATTTAATTACATTCACTTGTTTTAATGAACTGCATTATATAACAGGCGGAATTACTGGGTTTATATTTTTCCTTCATAAAAAAAATGTTGGCAAAAAAGTAACGTCAAATAAATTTCTAGAACTTAACGTAAAATAACGTTATTTTGACATTACCGAAAATGACACCGTCTATATTCTATTTTTGTAAACTGATGGGCTGTTGTGCCCAAAGTTATATTCTTATAAACTATTATAATACATGCAATTTGACTGGTAAGCTTTATGAATCTACATTATTGTTCATTTTCCTTTTTAAATAGCCTTAAAATTTAGGTAGAGGACTGTTAAAATATATTCCTACCATAAAATACTGCACAAGTCTTACTCATTGTTTATGCATTTATTTTACTTTCCGTTTCTACTACACATGATTGAGTACACTAAAGTTATATATACACTTTTATAAAACAGATAAATTACAAATAAAACTAGAGGAAAGAGGACAGCAGCAGAGAAGGGGTAGAAAATGACAATGATACTAAATATAGAGATGGAAAATCCCATGACATCATCTGTAACTAATAATAATTCAGTATTTCTCCACGGTATATTATAGTCCATACTGGTCAAACAGTCAATGCAGATACATGTAGTACATGTAGCTTTTCTAAAGACTTTAAGGAAAGTGGTAAAAGCAGTATTGCACAAGCACAAACTCAAGTTTTTTCCAGTCTTTGTTCCTAAGATCATGGCATTTACACATCTGCAGAATTCATTCTTTTTTAAATAAAATCTTTCTTTGTTTTCACTCTATCTGGCTAAAAGTGAACGTCTTGTCTTTTTTTTCTATGAATCGTTGTTGCTGGATCGGAGTGGAAGTCTGGTTTTGTTCCGAGGGGTGATGTTGGCACTGTTTACTTTCATTTTTCTGGGTTTCTTCATCTTGTTCTCTTTGGTTTCTGATGTCTACAAAAAGAACAACCAAATATTACAGTCCAAACCTTCTACATTTTTCACATTTAAATCTTATAAATGAAAAATTTTGTCTATATCCTTTCTCAAATTAAAGAAAAAATTGCTAAGGCCACCCTTAAAAAATTGTTTGTTTGGAATTGCCGCCTGGAGGTTTTCAGACACAGGAGGGAGGGAGGGAATTTTTTTTGTTGTTCAAAATTGAAGATAAATTTTAATTTTAAACACATTTTCTGACCTTTTAAAAAAGCATTTACCATCAACAAAGAAACTTAATTTTGCATAGAGCTGACATTACATTTCAGTGTTTTTTTTTATTGTGCATGTGATAACGGGCAATAAAAAAAAATCTTCCTACTTTTGGTCAATAATTTTTTTTCAGGAGGGGGCATTTCAATGAGGCGGGAGGCAATTCCAAACAAACAATAATTTTATTTTGGCCTAAATTCCAAACATTTTCCTACGACAAACGATTGTATAATTTGCACCACTCTAACAGAGGAAATAAAAGGTTCACCAACAAATTCTAAGCTTCTCTGTTATGATGGAATAACCAGTAATTTTTTTTAACCCAATTTAGGTCCGAATATCCGCCCTTTTCCCTCTAAAAAATTACTGATTTTTTTTCCCAATTTCATTTGCTTTTTTTCACATAAATAAATCCGCTTATGGTTTTGCTATATCGAATTGTTCCCAATTTTAAAGGCACAGGCATCTTTAAAAATTGTAGATAAATCAGTGCTAACTGTACCTTGCTGGAGTAGCTGAACACTGACACTCCTGACGTGGTGGAGGAACACGACATGTCACTTCCTGCCTCACTGACGTCGTCTGCTATGTCCTTACTTGTCACCTGGGCCAGACCATCCATCTAACAAACAAAAACAAAATTACAGATTATCATTTACTTCTGGGTAAATTTTGTAATTATGTTATTTAGCTTTATTAAAATGTAAATGACAGAAATTAATAAAATTCTAATTATTCTAAAATAAACGGTCCTGAGAAAATCTTTGAAATGGATTCAATATAATGAAGTTAAAATACCTAGATAAAAACTTGTTAGGGACTTCTTTCTCACACTGACATACTCATGGTAATTTTGAGATACATGAATCATGGGTGAACTGTATTCATGGGTTAACTATAAATAGACATTGTGTGTACTACCTGGTTATTCTCGCCCTCGGTCTCCTCCTCCTGGGCGGCCAGCTCTAGACTCCTCATCAGGTTAGCCTTGATGGGAGGAGGCTGGAATCCAAACTCCTCCAATAACTCCTCGTGGCGCCCCGTCCTGGTCAGACTCTGGGAGTACGTGATATCTCTCCTCTGTGGGGTGGTGCCTGTTGGGAAATAATTTACATTTTCACAATGTTTCCTCATGTCTGTGAATTTCAAACTAAGTTTTTATGGGGGGAGAGGAATTGGAGGTTCACTTTGTGGTTCAGAGAAATATCTCTAACATCTAGATTTAATACTATTTTCATTTTCTTCTAAAATTTCATGTAGGTCCATGCACTAAAGTTTTAAGGTAGTTATTTTACTTCAAAAATGATACCTATTCCTTTTGCTTTTACCATGCATGGCTCAATTTTTACTGTACCTGTTGGTAAGTCTTTCCTCATTTTCTCCTGTAAGAAAACATTGAGATCCTCCACTCTATTTCCTAAATCTGTCTGTAACTGTTCTGACCACTGAGTCATGTGACCATCGCTCTGATGACTCTGACTGGATAGATCAGCAGATGAAGATTCTACTAGCTCCCTCATGACCCCTTCACTCGCTGAAACTTTTTCTAAGCTGCAAGTACAGTCTGTTTTCATGCTCTGAAAATAAGTCAAAGTATATGTATATTAATTTTTCTTTCTGTGCAATGTACATGTAAGCTATATAACCTTAGTTCAATAACTTTTTGGCACTTTAATTATAGGAGAAAGTTATTAAGTCTTTATAGCAAGACAAAATGATAAAGAATACAATTACACACAAGAATGAATTTCCTGCAGACTGTCACACATAATTACATGAAGCTTAGGTTCGAAATAAGATTTTTAATTGATTTTTGTGTGAAATGCAAATTTACAAAATAATTTATTAAATTAGCAACACATTGAATAAATTACACAAGAATGACATTCCCCCCAATCTTTTCAGTGAAATTCCTAAACCTCCACCATTCCACCATTGATGGTGAGTTTCCTTGGCAAAAGTCCCCAGAGATTTTTCCTTTTCCACACTTTCACTCAGTCTCTGTACATAGTCACTTAGCACCTATATAAGCAACCGAATTTTTTTTTGTTCATACATTATATTGTTCTCGATTCAAATTTGAAAAGAAAATAAGGTTATCATCTTCTGTTATACTTTAAAACAAATCAATTAATATTTATACTAATTAAAACTTATTCTACCCCAGTACCTGCTAAATGTTAACAGGTACTTCATTATTTAAGATTAATATTTTTTCCCTGAATATTGTACCTTATTGCCTTGCTCCATGTTATCATTAACTTTCTGAGAAATCTGTCCACAAGACTCCCTACAGCTGTCTAATTCACTGGATACCTAGAAAACATTATACAATCACTTTGAGATGTTGTCAATAAAATATATTCAAAACAAATACAATGTATGATAAAGCTATTAATACAAGATACAAATCATTTCTTATTTCAAATGCATATTATCAATTTACAAAAAAGCCTACCCCCATCACACCAACTTCCTCCTTTATTCAAAAGAATTTTAACATGTAATTTAAAGGCATGTGATTTTTTTTAAATTAATATTAGACTTCATACCTTTGAGATTTCCTCTCCATGTGACACAAATGTCTCCTGGAACTTCTTTATGACAGACTTAGCATTATCATGACAATTACTGTCATGTGTGTCGATTTCCATACTGATTTCTTCTGAGAATTTGTCCACTCGTGTTTGAGAATCCTTAGTTGTGGTCCTAGACTCACTCAAGAGTTTTCTCTTCTTAATCAGAATTTTCTCCAATTCCTCATCGAGTTCATTCATCTCGCTCTGAGATTGCTCGAGCGAGCTGAGTTTATGGTTCATGTCCGTTGTGAATTCTCCCACCATGTTTTTCATCTTACTCAGATGCTCTGAGATGGAGTTTGTCCAACTCTGAGTTGTCTGTTCAAAATCTTTCTTCTGCAGATAAAAATTCATTGATTTTATATTTCCTTCAGATTTTCTTTTTTGACAAATACATTTATCTGTTCAAAGATGCACATAATACATTACACATGTAGATGTATTTATGAATTTTTCTATTTCAAACAAATACATTTATTCAGGATACATTTTCAGACATCTTTTGAAATGTGTTTCTTATATATACATGAAGTTTTAGACTCAGGATCCGGTTGTATCAACATTTAATGAATGATTAAAGCTTCATTAAACTGATTGTTTTTAATGTGTCATTAAATTCCGTTGTATCAATGTTTTAATGAATGGATGTGTAAACCTTCATTAACTTCTCTAACTTTAATCTCAAGAGGGCTTCTTTAAACGTTCATTAACTATGGCGGCCAACGTAATGTTTGGTCAGTTGGGTAGAAGGAGGGCTGATAGAGTGTTTAGAGAACGTTTTTCTGTAGAAAACATGACTGACGAGGACATCCGTAGGCGATATCGCTTTGGAAAAAGATTAAACAAATCGTAGATGTATATGCATATTCACAGAACTAGACGGTCACAGGCACTATCAACGGGATTACAGGTACATAACTGGTTAAAAAACTTACTTTGTCATACAATGTATTGTCCATAAAAAATGGTGCAGAACACCACAATACATATAGGCCTACCCCCATGCATTCCCTTGTTTTGGTTTGGTTGATTATGTCACATATTGCGTCACCCGACATTACCCATAGATAACCCAAGAATAAAAATTAAATAATAATACATGTAATACATATAACTATACCTAAAGTGGATTTCTTATAATGTTTTTATTTATTTATTTATTGTTTTAGTATAAACAGGTGAACCGTGACAACAAAATTCTTGATTGAAAAACAATTCCCCTTCATCAAGGCACATAGGTTACTTACAGTGCCTCTATATATAGAGATCTACATGTATATATAATGATAACTATGTCCTTGTATAAATCTTAAATTATCTTATCTTGTATATTGTATACATAATTCATGATTGTTCTCCTTTTTTTTATTTGTTAATAATAATTTGTTTACTGTGTGTCAGTGTGTTGCGGGGTTTTTTTTTTTTTTAGAATAGTATAAATTTTAACAAATTTCATTGTAAATTTTTTACCTTTTCACCTTTTTTCGTTCATTGAAAAAATAAATTTAACCTCATCAATCCTGCGTGTTTCATGATTGTTTGATTGCATTAATTATTTCGTCTTCATCAGGTGAATTTCCAATAAAGTGTTTAATATTTTGAACGGATTATGAAACAAAATCTGTTTTGTAAATAATTAATATCATGATTTTATGCCGGTAAATCGAAACTAGATTTGAATTGAATATTATGAACTTTGTACCTAAAAAAAGTTTTAAAACGAAACTTATTTTTTTTAATTCGGTTATTTATTTCGTGATTGACCAAAGTGATTCTATAAAAAGTGAAAACTAAAATCTAACATTATGATTTATTAATTCTTCAATTCATATCACAATCTCTTCCGCTTTTAGAAAAGTCGGATGAAAAAGAACACTAAGTTAGCCTACATTTCATGGCATAAAAAAATCCGGCGAACTCAAAATTATTTTAACACACATTAAAGTAATATCGTTTCTGAAATTAAAATTAATATGACTCATACATATTATTTGCATTTAAAAAAAATCTCATCAAAACCTTCCCTAACAATGTCCCTTAAGGTAAAAATCAACATTTAGGATTTGTAATGTTTTCTTTCTTGAAATAATTAGAACAACATCTTACATGTAGGTCGATCATTAACAACATAATTTGTCATAAAATACTAGTACATGCAAATTTTTAAATTTTTCGAATGGTTCTTTTTCGACAAAAATCTTCATATATTGAGTAGACCTTTATTATTATTTTATTTCAATTCATTAGGTACTCATTTCATTGCGATATTACGCTAGTGGCAGTTTTCTTGAAGTCGTCGGAGATACTGTTGGAGTGAATAAGTCTACTGTTTCTCGGGTTGTCCGTAAAGTTTCTAGAGCCCTTGTTTCCCTGGCTCACCGATTTATTAAATGGCCTGAAGATGACGAGCTTGCCATCATAAAAAAAGAATTCTTTAATTTGGCTGGATTCCCTGGTGTCATAGGGTGTATTGATGGCACCCACGTACGAGTCCAGGCCCCATCTCAAAATGAACCAGCGTATGTGAACAGGAAAGGTTTCCACTCAGTAAATGTGCAGGCGATCTGTGATTATAAGAAAGAGAGAGAGAGAGAGGAGAGAGAGAGAGAGAGAGAGAGATTTTCTTTGTTATTTTGAAATCTAAACTGCTATATTTTACTTCAAAGGAGAGCACACCATATAGCTAGATGGCCCGGAAGTACCCATGACAGCCACATATTCCGTATGTCAGGAATAAGGCAGACTATAGAGGAGAAGTTTCACTCGATTAAGGATGGGATTGTTCTTGGTGACAGCGGTTACGCTTGTAAACCTTACCTCATGACCCCGTATCTGAGACCATCGACACAGGCCCAGGAACGCTTCAATTCGGCCCATTCGAAGACCAGGGTGACCATTGAGCGTGCATTTGGTTGGTGGAAGAGGCGATTTCACGTCCTCCATGTGGAAATACGGATGACACCGGAGAGGGTCTGCACAGTCATTGGTAAATGTACATAACAAGGCTTGAGTAGATGTCTTTATTTGATAAGCTGAGTAACATGTTTATTTAGCATTCGCAAGTCAGGCAGGTAGCAACGGGAGGGGGGGGTGCCCCCTTTTTTTTCCCAATATTACTATTCATTGGAAATATTCAGAAACTTTGCATGTTTGATATTAAGGAAATTGATATTGGGAAACCAGTACTGAATGCAAAAAAGGGTACTGAAAGAAGTTGGCATTGAAAAAAGAGTTGGCCTCTACCCCCCATCCTTGCTCTCCCCCACGAAATAGGATTTTCGAGAGAACAGTTCCCCCCCCCCCTTTTTTTTTTTTGCTTTTAATATTTTTTAGGTAAATCAAAAAAAAAATTCTCTGGCTGCTCCCCCCCCCCCCCCACTTTCAAAAACGATGCTACGTGGCTGCAAGTAAAAATATTTGCATTATTCAGGTACTTGCCGGGTTAACATTTAATTGCATACATATTTTTATTTCAGGAGCATGTGCTGTACTTCACAATCTTGCAATTCTATTCCGGGAGCCACTTATAGACGAAGATCAAGACTTGGATGTCGATGGAAATATTCAAGGGCAGTACAACGGACCCGAGGATGGGAAAAACATCAGAAATTACATTACGCAACATTATTTTTAAGAACGTGCATGTATTGTATGTGCATTCAGTGAAACGATATGAAAACAGCTAGTTGAGGTGTTCATTGGTATATACACTGGTGTATGGTGATTGTATTTTATTCATTTATTGTATTGTAATTTTTTTTATTGAATATTTATCAATATGTGAGATTCATGGAAAAAAAATGATGACAGTGAGTAGAATTATTTATTAAAATACTGAGAATTCGGAAACAGAAAGCGTTCTCTGATATTTATACAAACACTTTAAATGCATTTGTTGTTTCCAAAATCATAATTATATTGGAAGTGAAATATCCTTCAATATGAAAAAGAAGAGAAAAAAATCAGTCAATCTTCAGAAGACATATCCAATTCCCGTCTGAGCTTTTTGTTCATCAACCTGTAGTACTCTGTTTGCTCCCGTAGTTTCAGCTGTTGTTCCACCAAAACTGCGTACTGCATTTGAGTCACGTCCTCAGGTTTTACCCTCTTGCGCTGACCAATATCCCCACCTTTTTTGACCTATAATGCTTGTTAAGAAAATTACTATTGCTGCAAGATGGAAGTTTAACATTCTTGTTAAAACTTGCTAACATACCGATGTGTGCAATCATTGCAAGAAAAAGTATTATATATAAATATTTATTACACAGTTTAATTCATATGCTACTGAGTACTTATATATAAATTATTAATTAACTTTTATTACTTGTCAAAACTTGCCAGCTAAATTTTAACGATGAAAATGGCAATCTTAATTTACAAATACATGTAATTTCTGTTTAATCAAGTGCATTTACTAGTATAGCACTGTACATGTAAAGAAATATATATAAAGTCAAAATGTTCTGTAATTATTTTAATCATAATAAAACTCATCCATCTTTTATCTGAGCATAAAATGTGTGCATTTAATAACTTATTACATGCAATTAGTAAATCTAGGTCACTACACATATACGACACTCGGAATCAAGGTAACCACTTCAATTGCAGAACTAAACATTGTAATACATTATTAAGTTGCTTTACTTATTTACTGAATCAAAAGACGTTCATTTATGCAAACTTTTCACAATTTATTTATTTAGGAATTATTATTATAATTACATGATTGGCTCCATGCTCGTCATCGCCGTTGTTGGTTTTTCTGCTGCAGAAACGTGAACCTCTGCCTCCACGGTGACCACATTTTTCGCTAGATCTGACAACTCATCGACGACCTGCTCTCCTTCTTTAGGTTGATCGCTCGGATTGAGCAATTCCGTTAGCAGACACACGGTTTGGGGTGAGCCCAAGATCTCTATGCTTTCGTCTATTTCTTAAAAAATAATAAATTTTTGTTCAAATTCTCTGTTGGCCATTATGCTCTAAATAAAAACACATTTCAGTTTTACAAATTCATTGGAGGAGTCTAGTCCGAGGTGGAGTAGAAAAAGGGGGGGGGGGTGAATTTCAGAGTAAACTAAAAATAGTCTTAGACCCCTATCCCCAATCTCCTTATGCTGAAAGTTGTCAAAAGAGGTACACCCATGTACAGAAAATGCTATAATTACATAAAAATTCATGACAAAACCTTTTAATGAAATAAGGTAAACCACCAACTCAAATAAATTACCACCCGCTTGATTCATGAATGTGTTGTGCTATAATAAGGACACGACGTTTATTGCCACTCGCACGATAGGTGGCGTTGTTAGTACAGTGACGTCATTTTGTGAATGAAGGACTATATTTTATTTTGCCTGTGTATCACGGTAGGGATTTAAAGAAGAGACTCACACAGCTTTTTGTTTGGAATATTTAACTGAAACTAAACAACGTAAACGATCCTGATTCAGCATACAGGAGGTATGTAAAGCTTTTCCTTTTGATGTCTACTGCTGCGATATAAAGCTTAACAAAGGGAGAAAACTGGTAGATATATATGAAGTGACTTTTTGCAATGTTTGTCCGAAATAGGTATTTACAGATTACAACTGTGTCTACTTGACTTGAGTGAATGACACCAATATTTCTCCTTTAAAATTACATTTACATGTATTATCAATTCGAATCAAGTCAATTTGCACACAGTTGACTTGTGAAAACAATTTATCTATATAGCTACTGCCCAATCCATATAAAGGACCTCTTCGCAGGTATAATTAAATGTTTTATGTTCATTACACAGTACTTATAGTTTTCATAGTTAAGCCTACTTTAGCGCATTTACACAATATTTCTTCTAGGGTACATGTATATATATCATTTTGTAACTTTATTCCGATAAATGTTTTAACCCCCCCCCCCCCCCCCCCCCCCGGAAAAAATACAAATCAGTCTTTGTATTTGGACCATATAACATTTAATATAAGTAATTTGTTTTTAATACACTGTATTTCTTACAAATTAAGAACTCAAACCTACCAGGTGCCTGAGTCTCGAATCCAGACAATCCAGTAAAGGTTGGAGAATCTTTATAGATGTCGATAATTTTTTCGCTGACCGTCGACAAAGGTTTTGCGCAGGGTCCTCCTCCCGTTCGCCTCTGTGAAAGTTTGTTGTTGCTAAATTCCTTTTTTGCCGTCTGGTGCATATTCGTCCATTTAGTTTTGATTTCTTTAGTTGAGCGACTGGAAACCCCTAATGCATTAATCTGTGCAGTGATGTTGTCCCAAATTTTTTTTCTTTTTCTCGTTGGTAACACTGTTTGTGAGTTTGCTATTAATGATGTCAACATTTCTCTCCACTAGATCAGCTAAAAGTTGAATTTCACTTGAATCGAAATTTTTCCCCCGATTTCTATTGTTTTTAAATTGAATTCCATCAGTCATTGTGCAGCAGAGTTTTTGATTTTTGATGAAATGACGTTTTTTACGATTTATCCTTTTAGACGCTCGGAATTGGTTAATTGACGTAATTTTTTAATTTTTGCGTCATAATTAAAAATGAGTTCTAATTTGGCGGATTTTTAAACTGGTTTTATTATAAGTAAATAGTAAACAAAGGAAACGCCCACGGAAGTGGTAACGCAATGCATTACGGGATGTTTTCCTAATGTTAATAGATCTTTAATGAATTCTTAAATATTTAATGATTCATTAAGTAATAACACTCTAATGAAGGTTTTGTACAACACACTTTAATGCCTTCATTAACTAATGCATCATTAAGAATTTAGCTATTCATTAGGCTTAATGATTCATTAAATTTAATGAACCGTTGATACAACCGGGTCCAGAACATTAAAACCCACCTGTTGCTGAAATCGCTCCAATTCTTGCTGTAGCACTTGTGTAGACATCTCCAGTCTTTCTTGAGCACTCTTCATTAAAGTCAGAAAGGTATCCTGATAGAATTGTTGGTGCCTGGCGGCTTCTAATTTCTGCAAAAGATACACAGTCATGTATATGCATTTACTCCAAATATCAATGCATCTATAGAATACCTGTAGTTGTGGGTATTTTGGTATTTGTTGTTGAATGTCTTAAGTTTGTTTAAATTTAAAATTACTTATCAATATCAGTTATTGTTACCTCTTATATCATGAATAACATAGAGGAAAAACAATTTCACAGGGCAATTTAGAATCATTGTGAATCAACTGAAGACACATTACCTGTGTATTTTGGGACTCCTCTAGAGTTTTCTCTATCCAGGCTAACCTAGATTCTGTCTGTGTGTCAGTGTGTTGGTGTAATGAGGTCACATGTTCACCTAGTTTCTCCTGTAAACAGCTGACTATGTTCCCTAGTGTGTCTGTTTCACTTCTTCCCTTCTCCAGCATTTTAGCTAAAAGTATAATAGTTTGAATGAATCCATGCCATCAGTACTAATTAAGAAGCATCAAATAAAATGTAAGGAACAATGATTAATTAAAACCCTAATCATACTTTCCATCAGATATCAATAAAGTATTTCCTCCATAAACTATGAAGCGGGAAAAAAGCAACATTAAACCTGTGATTTCTGAAATTTAAATAAATTCATAAATTTTCCTTCCTATCTACATGTAAAATAACATTTCCAACATTTTGTAATGTTATTTTACAATTGTCTTTTTCAAATACTCCTTTTAAAGTGTATAGCTTGAAATCTGAAAATCTCCTACCAATGCTTTGTGTGCGTTTTGTGTGGAAATCTTTCTGTGACTGTACAAAAGCCCCCAGCTTGCTCTCTATCGTGTTGATTTCTTTGTTAAACGCCCCCTGGAACTCGGTCTGACACTGTTCATTGTGTCGTTCTACAGATCTCTTCCTGTCCAGTTTGTCGTGCAGTCCGTGTACGTCAGAGATTGTGGATGAGACGGTGGACATTAACTACAATGATCCAATAGACACACATATATATAGACAGTATCTTAAGTCTACATTTAAATACTTAAGAATAAAGCAAACAATTCCCTGTACTTTTCATTTAAACACAAAGAAAAAAGTTTATTCTGTTACTCTAAACTACTCATTTTTACAACTTAAGCAAAACAATGAAATTGAAAAATAAGCAATCCCTCTAAGTTTACACAAAAACGTATTATCTATAGAAAATCCAAAGTCTTCATTATACTTCTAACATCAAGAACTTTGCATGTTTTTAATAAATTATCTTGTGGAAACCATACCCTTACATACGTAAATAGCTTATCCCTTGATCAAAGTACAGAGAACATTTTTTTTTTTACCTGAGTTGCCTCCCCATAGAGACAGTTCTCAGCGTTGACATGTTGTGACACCAGGTAGCGTTGTTCCTCCCTCTCCTTGACCGTGACCTCCAGGGTCTGGGCGGTCTCCTCCAGCGCTCCTGTTGTCCGCACCAGGTGATTAGTTGTCTTTGTCAGTGTCTTAGTTGTCTCTTCCAGCTCCTTTTGTGTTGTCTTAAACAACTCATTTATCTGTAAGAAAATACGGAATTACTTTTTAAAAAAAGAAATCCATCAAAAAATATCATTAAATTCATTTTTTCCTTTACAATTTGCTTTTTTCTCAGAAATATCATAAACTTAATCTTACTGTCCAATAAAAATTTAGAAACTTTAAAAGTTTTTGATGGCTAGTGGCTTGACAATAATGACAAGGAAATTTTTAATTCTAGTACTTTTTCCTTTTCTTTTGTGAGAACTTCCAGCTGTTCTTCCATTTCATGAATGGAATC